ATCAGTCTTACTGGGCACGGTCCCACCCCTCAAAGTGGGGCCCCATGTGTCCTGTTCATCCCGTTTCCTTATTTGAAAAGCAGAAAGCCATTGACCTACCTCCTCACAGGCGGTTTTGAAATCCATGTGCTATGGCACCGCAGAGGATGTTTCTGGAAAGACAGAAATGGCACGTGATTTAGCACAGCACCCTGTGTGAGAGAGGACACTAACAAAGCTGTACGCGATCGCGAAGCAGCTCCTGTGGGAAGTGGCGTTTACAACCACCCACAGGAACGAGAGCTCGGGGTGGGCTGAACACAGAGAAGAGGAGAAGGTGTGACGTCCATCCCCAGCTCTGGTGAGGGGGAGCGGCCTGCCCTTGTGCATTTCCACGCTCTCCCCACGCCACCAGGCTCAGGGCATGAGCTGCTAGGGATCAGCGTTTTGTCTCAGGTGTGAACACATTCCCCACTTTCACTTTGAAACCTGAGTTTACAGCTGGGAAAGAAACTTCAAAAAGAGTAATTAAAAGTTTCCTTTCATACGGTTATCTATTGAAAAAAAGCTTGACTAATCTTTCTCTCTTTTTAATTAAAAAGCTACGTGCATGAATAATTCTCTCTGGAACTTAAAAGTTTATTCACAAACAGTGTGATATAAAGAAGCAAACGATTTATCAGAGAGAATGATACTCAGACAAATCATTGTACGAAGTATCTACTGCAGGTTCACTTAGGGATCTCTGCAATACCTAAATGATAAATGTACATTTAAATGCATATTGGGTGTTTTGTCCTAGAGTTTGTTCACATTAATAGACAGAGTTAACAAAATTCAGAGCTGTCAGTAAACATGGACAACCTGATGCTATAAAAGTAAGCCATGCACAGCTAAAATATAACGGTTAGGTAAATAGAGAAGAGACTTCAAAGTAAAACGTACAGTTCATTCAAACATAGAAGGCTTTGTACTCCTTGAAATTCTCTTCCCAGCCTTTGGAACCTTAGACCATATTTCCCTCTGTCATTTTTTATGTATAAAATTGATGAGTCCTTGATTAGGTAAGTGTGGTCAAACAGAGCAGGAGGTGTCCCCCACGCTCGCTGAATTGATGCATTATTAGTACTGACTCGGAAGGAAAGGGGACTGGCTATTTCCAGATGCAGCTGAGGACGGCACGTGGAAAGTACCTTCCAGGGAGGTCTTCTGAGCCGGGGCTTACTTTCACCTTACAGCCATGCATATGGCAGCTGATGACAGCAACGTTAGGAAACAACACGTCATTAGCGAACGGAAGGTCAGTTTAATAATGAAAATTATACTTGATAATTAAACGCTACTTATGACTCATAGGCACTTTGTTATTTAACGCTTATTTTTCAAAATTGCTCTTAAAGGTGGCATTTGAAGAGCCCATAAGTATCTGCTTATCTCTCTCTTTGACATAAAGTAATTCCTTTACCACAAAAGAAAGAAAATGTTAATATGTATTGGTTATTCAAAAGCAAAACATGTCTAGATTTAATTCCCTGCTACTAAAAATCAGCTAGCCTCGCCCAGGTGGTGTGGGCCAAGTGCCCTGGACTGAGGAGCCGAGAGCCACACAGCACCCGAGGTTCAGATTCTCCGGGTCGGCCCCAATGCGACCAAGTACATGTGCTAGCGGCCAAGACGGTGGCAATCCCGGCTGGGGGAGAGGAGTGTGTGGCCCCCGTGCCTGACTCTCCATCCTGTCTCTCTCTCATGCTCAGGTAGAGGCTCTCTATCATGAATTTTAAAAATGTAATAAATGAATAAGTAAATAAGTATTAACCAAAGAAACAGGCTATTTAACCAGTTATTTAATTTCATATGCTATACTTAATTTGTGTGCACATGTTAAGGTTATTTCTTAATATGTAATTATTTCTTAATATGACATATTTTAACAGCTCTTCCTTCTTTTATCATTTTAATTTTCTATCCATTTTCCTCAAAACATTACATAATATCGGTTGTTTACTCAAAAAAGTATCAGTATGAGATTCAAAACATTTTATCAGCAGGTAATAAATTTGATGGCTATGATAAAATTATTATCAGTGATTACAAACACAAAAACTTTGTAAAACATCTTCAATTTTTTTATTTTTAGTATTTCTGAAACTTTTAAAAATAAACTTTTATACGACAACAGTTTTAGATTCCTAGAAATGGTGAACACAGCAGCGTTTCTATGGGCTTTAAAGTAAAGTTTACAGGGGTCACTGACTTGAAGTGACTTTCTGCAGTAGGTTCCAACAGACCAAACCTACACGGAGTCACTCCTGCT